AATAGTCACCGGGTGCCAGTCCTTGGACTCGTAGAAAATCCAATACAACGCCCGAACCGTAGAAAATCAAGGTCTCACTTACTTCGATTTTGAACAGGACACCCTGAGCTATCAGTCCATGAGAAAAAAGCAATACAATCTCATTGGAAAATCTTTACAGACGACCTAGTTTTCCAAAGATCTCCTAGGAAACCTATTTCAAAAAACTCTTTTGGAAATAATGTTGGTTATGAAAACATGCATCCAAGTCTCCTCTTTCAAATGACGAAAACCGAAGGTCTCCATCTTGTTCCTGTCAAAAGTTATTCTTAAAATAATCGAGTGCCTTGACTTCTGGAACAGATAATAGTTTCCACCTCAGTGCAAAGGTTAGGAATAACAATGACTCATGTTGAATATCAATCAGATAGACTTGAAGAACACAAGAAAAAGAGGAATAGAATTATATTTCCTCTCAAGAGCAAATACTACTGGATAATCAACTCTTATAAATATACGAAAAGATTCTAAGTCCAGAACCCATTTTTCTTCCACTAGTGGACCTTATGGCGCCGAGTCTGTACCATTAATCGAAAAACGATTATGCACTGATCCAGGTTCAGTCCCCAGAGTGTTCTCCCGTTTTCAGAACTTTAATACTCTTTAGTAGCTACTTAGATCACTCGACACACACAATAATCGATGAATTTCTAGTTGTTCAGTATTTCTTCTATTTTGAAATAACAAATCATCTTTTTCTTCCCCGTTTCTTCTTTTTTCTACTAACTTAAAATTCCCTTCTCAGTACTTTTTTATGTCTTTCTATTTTTATTTATAAAGAACAAAAAATTAAATAAAAATGGTGCCCTACAACTCGTTAAAAAAGTCCAAAACACATTTCTTTTCCACTTTCTGAAGTTAGAGCGCCTATTTTGGACCACCGTTTGGAAAAAGAACATGCAGTAGTCAGTCTACAGTAGCCGAAGAATATCCTCCTGTTCACAGAAGTTTTCTATGTTGCGTAGTTCTCAAGATCACGAGGCGCACATTTTGCAAAACAAAGTGACTATACAACAACAACAAAAAAAATTTCCAGAAAAACTCATAATGTTTGCCGATATAAGAACAAAAATCCCTGAAAAAATGCATAATGTCTGTCGACATATTGGTATTTTAGCATAAATCATAATTGTACATAAAACATACACGTTCACTACTCACAGAATTCAGAATTTTTCTATTGTGTTTGATTTCACAAATTCGAATACAGATAATGAAAAAAAAATCGTCTGTCAAGACTGTATAATAAAATGATTATTATTATTTATTTTTTGAACGTTTATCCCGAATGGTGCCGAGAGTCTTGCCAATGTTGAGAATAACCATTCGTAATCTTGATCATTTCTAGTCAATTCATTCACTTGCATATTTGTACATCGAGTTGGAATTAGTTCAATCTTAGTCACTTTTCGCTCGTCCATATCCATATCGATTAAATAGATAAAACTTAAATCATTTCGATACTCTTTGTCAATTGCATAGTCATCGATAAAATCTCCACATCCGTAAATAATTGGTTTGCCCTTATAAATTTCAATTCCTTGTACATGATGTGAAGAGTGACCATGAATAATGTCGACATGACACTCGTCAATGAGCCAATGAGCAAATAACTGAAATGCAACAGGTGGTGACCATTGATAATTTGATCCCCAATGGAGTGAAACGATTGTTAAACTGATTTTGTTTTTCAGTTGATAATCAGATATATATTCTTTGATTTGCAAACGATCATTAGGAGTTAATTGTTCAACATTAATATAATTGATGCCGGGCATGGTGGGTTGAGCAGCCCAATATGAGTAATGATCAGCAAAACTAAATAACCCGATTGTCGTATTATTACGATGCAGTATTGCTGGTCGACGAGCCTCAGACAGATTTTTACCAACACCTATCAAACAACAAAGTTAGCGAGATCTATCACTCCTTCAATATAGAATTTTGATCTCTAACCTGCAAAGGGAATTTGATATGTATTCAATGCATTCATTGTATCATTCATTCCTTGCTGTGAATAGTCGAGAGTGTGATTATTTGCTAAGCATACATAGTCTAAATTGATCTCTTTAAGAGTTTGTAGATTTTCTGGTGCACAACGATAATTAAATGCTTTTTGTGGCCATTTTATATTTGAATGTGTCACGGATGTTTCCAGGTTACCAATACGTAAGTCGGAGTAAGCTGGATGAAAATAGTCGAGAGTATTTCCCCAAATGTAGGAGTAAGAGACAGGTGGCTGAACGCAAGCACGTTTTAACAGCATACATGCATGTTCATATTCTTCGCGATTATCAACATGTTTTGCAAATATTTGATCGACAAGACGACCAATCATTATATCACCAAGTAAAATGAGACGAAACGGAGATCTGATCATTACTCGAATTAGAGAAGTATAATAAAAACAAAAAACATATGGTTTAGTGCATTTTCTAAAGTAGTGAACAAGTGATAAACATATAGTAAAAAAAACCAAAGAGCTTACTCTGTAAAAAAAACAAGTTGGAAGCATCTGATTTATTATAAGAAAACTTTAAGCATATTTTGAAACTCACACCTACAAAATTTTTCATCGAACTTGCACATTAGTCAATCACGCATGTATTACCAAACTGTGAGTAGAACGTAATTTCTTCAAAAAAAAAAGGTTTTGATATGTACAGAGTAAATTAATGATTAGTGATATGTGATAACGTTTTTCTGCTGCCAAACTTTCCGTCTATGCATGGGTGGGTGTTACAGCTATAATATCCGACAGCATAGAACATCACTAGTGCATAAAAGTTGTCAGCTTGATCAGCAATCACTCTGGTTCCTATATCATATACATCAGAGATACTTGAAATTGACATGTATAGACAACAAAAATTATAAAAATATTGTTCGTAAAATTTTTTCATTTATCACAAAAAAGATAAAAGAGAATGAATGGTGCAAAAACATTTCATCGTTGAAGTCCGGTGACACCTTAACAATGCTATAAAAAGCATTTTTTTACCTCTAACTACAACACGAACAACAGCGACCAATCTCTCATCTATTTACGATGGTATATAATTATCCATTACACCAACAGTACAGATTTCAGCATTAGAACAACAACATAATAGTCAACATTCACAAGACCCACAGCTTGCTTGCACTGAGAATTAAAGATTAAAAAAGGCTTGTTCTTAAAATCTGCAGTTCAGAGTCTACGAGACGTCTACTTCTTTACGCATAGAAAGACGAAAAAGAAAATGAAACAACAGAAAAGAGAGAGTTACGTTATTCATTCATTCATGTCTGTTTCAGATAGTCCTATTGCACTTAACATATGATCATGTACAAAAAATACGATGATTGTTTTATTGAACTCAAGAATTTTTATTTCATAGAGGTATTTATTAAGTTATCGACTGACTCTCGTGAACGACCGTAAGAAATAATGATGTGCAATTGATAATAGACGTTACATGCGCAGTAAAGCCATTTACATCTCAGTTTAGTTTATGGCGAATTTGGTTCGTGAGAAAATTTTGTTAAACGTACTATCAACCATCTTTGCAAACACGAACTTGAGACAATATCAGATCTGCATATGAACGCGTGAGGTGATGCTGTCTCAGAAAAGCAAACATCGGATAAACCATCTATCACTGTCGCACTTTCCCACTGGCGAGTTAGAATTATGGCAAGAACTTCCATGCGCGACACATTCTTTCGTCTGAGCGTGTCAATAGAAAAGAAAGAGGACAGAAAGATATCCATGTGCTGCGAAAAGAGATATACCCTTAATTGCCAGTTTTCTAACAAAAAGTGTGTTAAATTGAAGGAACATCAATGCGACAGATCTCAAAGCTGAATACAACATAAGACATAAGACGTTATAATTAGAAGAAACATAAACACATATATTCGAGAAGAAGCAACCCAATAAAATTCGCAATTGTTACCTCTATCCATGAATAAATATAAAGATGATAAGTATCAAACAAAGCGGTTTTTCCCGCCTACACTGTCACTCATGGTACTCGGAAACAAATATATCCGTCTGTTCCGTTCTATCCTGGTGGCACACTCATATATGACTCATATGAACTAAATGCTATGTGATGTTTTCATCGTCGGTTTCACAATTTTCGCGTGATAAAATTGCTCAACAACTCCTGGAAACTCGTCAAAGATAATTGCGTTAAGTTGAGTTGAGCTCAATCGAGTTTGATCGGTCGTTTTTGTCGACTTTGCATGCCAGAGATTAGACAAACTAGCCTATTAAAGAATGATCAAAAGAATAATCATTAGATCAACAGAAAATGGATTTATCAGCATGTACGAGCTGCTTTACAAAGTAAACGAAATATAGTGTCAACACTGTAAATTCGTGTTCCATATAAACGGGTGACCCTTTCACCCACTTATGTGAGGGTGAGGGTGAGGGGTCATAAATAAAGAAAAATCACCCACTTCGATGGATGATGACACACATAAGTGGGTGAAAGTGTCACCCGTTTATATGGAACACGAATTTACAGTGAAGAAGTAACATGATATCGAAATCGACAGATACCTGGCAAAGTAAATACTGAAGTTTATGAACTAGATCAAAAACTAGCGCAGTTTTTGGGAATTTCCAAACTTTCGAGTACGTAAAGAATTTAAAGCCAAGGAATATCAACGCCACACCTAGACTGCGCGGTGAAAACTAGGCATCCATAAGCTTTACCCATAAATTCCTACCATCACTTGGAAATTTCACGTTGAAGGTAGAGATTTATGAATGCCTAGTTTCGACCTGTCTTCGTTTTGCTTAAACCTCATTTGGAAGATTTCAGTTTAGAGTTACTATCAGAATAAAAAATTAAATGCTACTTAAATTTTCGAACCTCGAACAAGACTTTTTAGAGTTCATATTCCAAACAAGCATACTAAAACGCGAATGCTACCACGCTTACACAAAAATTGGAAACGAGCAAGACGTTGATTGTCCATTAGTGTTAATTTTTTCAATATGGCGTAAGCAAAAAGTGCGCGTAAATGTAACGTTGCAGCCGCAGATGTGAACGCAAGACAGCAATTATGCGCAATTAGTCTCCATTGTATAACGTAATCCGCCCGTATTCAAAAACACGGGCCTAATCTATGTTCATGTCCACGCTAGTAAAATTTCCTAAAAAACTTTCAACAAAATAGATAATGGCCCGTATACGGTCACTGTTAAAGATTCGTATTGTGAAGAAGCATCCATTAATTAATTAGTAAGTCATTATATATCGAAATGTTTAGATAGCCTGACTAAACTTTATTTCATTTTTTTATCCAAAGCATCACAAACAGGACTATTATAACCTTCTCGATAGGGCTATTAATGTAAGAGTAATGCCATTCGTTTACATGAACGAATCTATACGGTCTTACAAACGGACGGTAGCGCCATGTCTCATAACATTGACAGATCAGTGACTCATCACTGTTACTATGAAACTAATCACTTTCTGTTCATAACAAATACAATTATAGAGAGATACATTGTAGAGATAAAGCACTCTTCTCTTGTTTTGAACAGTTCATAGATAGTGGACGTGCGCCACGAGTGTCGTCAGTGAATGTACAATATAGATTCTAATAAAAGAAAAAGAAAGATATAAAACATGTAAATTTAATTGTCCACACTTCATCTTCGAATGCATGATAGATTAGACGATGATATTTTTCAAAAAAACTTGTTAGAATGCATTAAACAATTGGCCTATGTCCAAACATTCACAAGTACTTGGAGCAGTGCCAATTTTTTTTTCAGTTATTCCGCTCTCTTCATTATACATAGTTCATGTAGAAAGGAAAAGACAAACATCGTGTGCGAAGTCTCTATTTCGCAGATTTCATTTGTCATTCTTTAGACCGTCTATAAAGTGAGAAGAGAAACAAAATAATATAACACAGAAAGAGAAACGTAGTGCTCAATGCCATTTATTGTAATTGTTATTGTATTGTTCTCTTTCTTTCCGTTCAATCTTCGTCAATTGTGACCGGAAGAATACAAAAAACGTTCGAATTTTGTCGTCGTCCAGAAATCGTTGACTGAACAGAGTGTTTATTCTGCTTCTCTTTTTTTCATATATTCTGTATTTCCTCTTGAATAATGTCAGACATTCTCGATATCCTTGACTCTACGAGTGGTGGAGGTTAGTTTATAAGGTCATTATCAGCCACGCACACCACACTTTGCCATGTTGTGTCCTTTTTTTCTTCGTTCTGCATAGATACCAATTCAAATTCAGACTTTGTTCATTTTATCAATACTGGAAATTCGTCAGAAAATTCTGGAAACTCAAACGATGATTTATTTAATTCAACGTGTGATGAAAATGAGAATGAACCACCCCTTCAACGTTTACAGCGATTACAATCTTATTCAAATCATAATGACAAGTAAAAAACAATGATATACTCTTATCGTTGAAGTACTTGAACTGATCCAATTATACGTTAATCGATTTATCTTTCACTTTTTTTTCAGAAAAAATGCTGTTAAATATATAATTGATGCGTTGCGTATGGTACAAAATGAAGACAATTTATACACAATATTACAGTGCACAAAGAAGCTAGCAGATGATATCGGTGTGTGAAATACTGGTAGTATTAAACATGTTGCAGAACTCAACTATATATTGTTGTTTTTTCTTCTTCCAGTAACCCAAGTACAAATTGATGCATTAGAGAAGTTTGTTCCTGTGGTTGAATTTTTAGCACAAAATTTTATAAATCCCGAACTACTTGTTAGAGATTACTTATTTCAGTCGATTATACAAACATTGGGGCATGCAAATAATAGGGTATGTATTATATCTATCTCTCTAATGTTATAGGTCGACCATTTTGAGCTAGTTTTAAAGCATGAACGTTTTAAGAAATGTTTGCATTTTATTCTTTACACGATACCTGCGATGCCTTCATTGAAAAAACACTGAACTCTTCACCGTATGAAAGTCTGACCTTACTCTGTTGTGTTCTAGGTTCGTAAAGCTAGCCAAGCTGCTTTAATTCGTACATTTGAACTAGAACAAGTTAATAAAGATGAAATTGAAAATGATGTAATACCAACATTAGTAAATTTAAATCATGCATGCGATGAGTACAAAAATGAAGCTGTTATGGTATGTTTTTCATACTATCACTAAATAACCCTTCTCTTTTAGTGTTGGAATTTATTATCCTCTGAAAGACATGGGTAGTGAGATGTTGAATAGTTAAATCATCTTTCTAGTCTGTCTTTCCAAAGGATGATTAAAAATGAAATCAGTGACGAAATCACTATTTGAAAACAGTGTTCTAAGATCATTCTATCAACTGTGCTGTGAATATGTTGAGAAACTCATATCACAGCCAGCTTTGGTGGAAATGATGGCACAGCTACTCTGCACTTATCCACTGGTTTCTCTCGCCCGTGAAATTTCAGAAAAATTTTGAATATATGCTTGTGACAGAAAAACATTAGATATGATCAAACAAATTTCTTTTGCGGTTATTATGCCGTTCTATTTTTTGACGGAAGCAGAGCATACTTGGTTAATGAAACTGAGGATATCTATCAGAATATGATAAGAGGTGTTGCTTCTTTCAGATTTACTTGTATGTGTTTGTTTATCGTTTGTGTCAGCAAAACCGTTGTGTCATGTTGTCCCTGTTAGTTCATATCACAGCCGCTTTGTTGACACAAATAAAACGGCGACGATTATTCTCTGTATTTCTCAGTACCTCTTTTTTTTAAAGTAAATTCTAGTTTTAAAATTAATCTTGTTTTATTTTAGTTAATGAGTCGTTTAGCCCCATATGTTGGCTCTGATTTAACATTAAAATATTTTGTTCCAGCAGTTGTGCAATTGTGTTCAACTATTGCATTTCAAACAAGAAAGGTATGTTAAAAATTTCTTAGTAAAAGATAATATTTTGAAAATTCTGTTTCTCTTAGACATGTACAACAGCTATTGGTGATTTTGCTACAATTATTCCGCCCTCCGCTGTCGATGAACATCTTGTAAATTTATATTTATTTAATAAATCAACAGGTTTTTTTACTATTAGTCTATTGCAATAGTAGCTGGGTTTCGTTTCCAAGTGGACGGCTGTATCTTGAAATTCGTCTGCTCCGAGAATTCTCATTTGAAAAAGAAAAATATACTACAACATATAATGAAAAAGAACAATGAGTAACGGCTCCGAATCGAAAACTAATGTGTGAAAAAGCAGCCGACTACACCCGTACTATTGTCTGACATTTTGTAGACCAATTCGGCACGATTTTCCTCTTACCTGGCATCGTAATGTTCCTCTTTAATCCAAGACCACTCTTTTTGAGCAATTTTGCCTCTTCCTCTTTTGGGCATTGTTAGCAAAAATACAAGAATTCAAGCTATTTTTAGATCGGAAAGTAGTTTCAGATACATATTTTTTTATCAATGCCATCATATGAAACAAAATTCAGTTCTTTGTGGTTACAGAAAACAGTAGATGAAGTCCCTGTGAGACGATGGTTAAAACAAGGTTGTTTTTAGATTGGTTCAACGGTCAGCGATGCTATTTAGACAGTCAGATGTTTTTCTGTGTTAAATTAGAACAATTTTTCTTGATGTGTTTTTCTCCGTTTTTTTGCGTGTGAAACACGGGAAAAAATAGTTTAACTGGTATTAAATCTTTTTGATAGCCTTAAGTCGCTTGACATATACACGTTGTCAGTACCGTTTTTAGGCTCAAAAAGTGACTCATTTTTATCGTTCACGCGTAAAAACGTTTTGACATTCCTCTTTTTTCTTTTTCGCTATGGGACCGTTGCGATGCCAGCTCTTTATCTATTTTTGTAGAAGGCAAAATATACAAGGTGCGTTAAAATAATAAAATATACATAGGATCGTGCAGCTAACATACAGAAGAAGAAAAAGGATGTGATGTCTAGAAAACATTGAAGATTTGATTTGTACTAGAAATTGAATTTAGTGTTGTTAAGAATTGAATTGTATGGTAGTTGAGCTGACACAGCTTTTGTTTATGTGTCTTTTAGGTTCCATGTATAGAACAGTTATGTTCAGATTCATTTTGGGGCGTCCGTAAAGGTTGTGCCGAAGTGTTACATCCATTGGCTACTGTTTGTTCGTTGGAATCTCGATGGAATGTTCTTTCAACATGTCTTATCCAGTTGTTACAGGATCAATCGAGATGGGTGAAAACAGCTGCTCTGAGAGTTCTTGGATATTTTATATCCACATTTCATGATCCAAATAGGATCGGTCAATGTACAAGATCTACAACAACAAAGTTAGAGAGGAAGCAAAGAGATGATCTATGCGAAGATCTGAAAGATATAAATACATCGGATACGTACAATGATTTTCAATATTGGAGAATAGTGCCAAAAATTAGTTTAGATGGTACTCAACAAAGCAGTGAAGGAACCGCTGATTATAGTAACAGTGAAATAGACTATAGCACAAGTAGGTTAAGAAGCCATATGTGAATTTTATCGTGTTGGGATGCCATTTAAGCTTCTCAGACTGGTAGATGCAGCACTACGTTACGTAACTAACCTGCGTTTTATTGTTTCAATTGAAGGGGGAGGTCGTCCCTTCCGGTTTTTCCGGCAGTTTCTGCACAGACTGAAGTATATATTCAGCAGTTTTTTCGATTCTCGAACTTCTAGTTTTTGAGAAAAATTTGTTGCATCATTAGATAAAGAATATCAAGTTGTATACAGAAAAAAAAGTGTTCATCGTTCCAAGATAAAGTTTGACGAAGAAAATCAAATTTTATCTTCCTGGTGGAATTTTATGGCTAAAAAGTATTTTGAAAAAACCTTGCCCATAGTTTCTCGAAAAGGGAGCATTTGGGGGGAAAAGTGTGGCTGCAAAAGTTGTTCAGAATGTCATTTTATGTGGCATAATACTTTGGTGGCTGGGAATTTCTTAGTTTTTAAGAAAAATTTACGAAGTTTTAAAATTTTAGAAACCGTATTCTTTAATTAAATTAAATATTTTCTCTTAGCTAAAAATTAGAGAGGTTTTTCGAGTTTGTAGAAAACACTTGGAAGTATATGTTCTGAAGTTTTTCCGGCTTACTGACATTATCTGGCTGAGAAAAAAACTAATTACTGAAAATAATGTTGGTGAATTTTAGACTTGCCGAGCGGTCAAAAATGTATTCTAATATTTTTAAGGTAGTCCATCTTGTAGCTCGTGAAATTCTCTATCAGATGAGATATTACTTGATTTTTTTTGTTGAGCGGTTATTTTACAAACGGGACTTTAAGCTTTGTAGAGTAGGCTAAATTAACGTTAATTAGTACTAATTAGTGAATAATCGGAAGGAAAGAGCAGGAATGTTTACATAATTTCTCGTAGTATATATTCTCCACACATTTCTCTATCGATCTGGACAAGAACCAAGTTTTTATGATGAATGGAGAATGGATAGGAAATTTTTTCATAACAGCCTCATGCTCAAAAACTTAACAACATCATTTTAAGTAATTAATTTTTTTCTCAGCTAAATAATATACGTAAGGTGAGAAAACTTCAGGACATATGCTTCGAAATATCGTCTACAAACTGGAAACGTATGAGAACAATCTAAATGGGCGGATTGCCCTTAACTGAATAATTTGCTTTTTTATTATTTAGATTTTCCACGAAAACGTTCCCTGTTAGAAGTATCAAAATCATTTGACCAAGATGATATCAATGTAAGTCTGATAGAGTATTTTCTTCTTTGTTTTGTTTAGTTTTGGATGGATAATCTGATTTCTTGTCATATCTCTACATTTTTTACCTTTTATAGTCGGACTAGAAAACAGGTTGGTTTAAGCTATTTTATTTGAAAAAATATAAAGTATGGAGCTCTAGTGTTACTAATTCGGCATTGCCATTAAAAAGTAAATACGAGGCCTGCGATATACAAAGAAGATAGCATCGAAAATTGAATGAATAAGTTAGTAAATTAGTTAGTAAACAGTAAAATAAATAGACAGCCTGATTACTTTAGAATTACCGAAAGTTTTAGAGAAGAATTAAAGAAAGAAAACAGATTGAGTGTCTTTAAGGTTTTGATGTCAGTAAATCGCTATGGTATTGCTTTATTTTATCTAAATGATTTTATTTTGTTTACATTTTTTTTTAGAGCATATTGCCTTCTGCTCTAATAGATTTTTATACATCAATAATTGAACAATCTTATAGCAGTGGTGTTGAAACAGATGTCGTTCATCAAAGTGCACATACATTTCCGGCTGTCGCTTTAACCATAACAAATAGCAATTGGCATCTAATCAGAGATACACACCGAAAATTATCAGAAGATTTACAGGTGAAATAACTTTCCCATTTAAGAACTTTATTTTTTCAATAATTATTTGTTGAATTTTAGTGGAAAGTGCGACGAACATTAGCATATTCATTACATGAATTAGCTAAAATTTTAACAACCCAACAAACCGAGGAGGATTTATGTCCAGTATTTGAATCATTTTTGAGAGATGTTGATGAAGTTAAAATTGGAATTATCACGCATTTAGCAGAATTCTTCAAAGTATGTGTCACATTCACTCGTCTGCAACACAAGATACGGGGATTTTTTGTAATTCAGAAAGTTCAATATCCTATAATATCTCTATAATCGTGTTTCCGATTTATTTTTATTTATTTTGTTTAGTTGCTTCGTCCTGTCATGCGAAACCAATATTTGGAAAAACTAACTTGTTTAACATCTGTTGATAATCAAAGAAATTGGAGATTTAGATCAGAGAGTGCTATGTAAGTAATAAAATTACATTTTAGTTATAGAAATGATTTACATTGTACAAGTGGATTCGTATTGCAAAGATCCACTGAAAAAAGAATCGTCAATCTGTTAGGAAAGTTGCTTCTCTTGCACTAGTAATGAACGAAACAGAAGATATTTGTTATCTGTACATGTTATTACATTTCGTTCGAAACTTAATATTAGATAATTTGTTTTTTTTTTTCTCTATTTGTAGCCAATTGCAGGAATTGTGTGCATTATATAATCCATCTGCTATTAGTGATTATATTTTACCATTGGCTTTTTCATTATCTTTGGACAAAGTTCATGACGTGCGACGAGAATCGATCAAAGCTCTAGCGGCCTGTTATGATAGATTTAGTCAAACAAAATCACAACAACTATGTGAAATATTTATTGAAGATAGTCATAGAATATTTGCCCGATCTATGGAATGGAGATTTAGACAAGCGTATGTAGTCGTAGTTTATATGTCTAGCTATTGATAAAGAAATGTATACATCAGAGTTTGTCATCTACAAAAGAAAATTTTCATTTCGTCCTGACTTTTATGAGCATTTAATAATGCTCTTACGGGATCATATTAAATTTTTTTTCTTAGAAACGTTTTTGTTAAGTAGAATTTCTGCTACAGCCGATCTAGTTTGTTTGTTTGTCTAGTTTCGACATAAAACACTGTAAAAAATCTGCTTTTTCATATTTCTTTCTATTGCATTTACGCATCACAAGACTTTTTGTGATAAAAATATAAACAATTCACTGGCAAAAAAGTAAAAATTTCCATATGATGAAATTTTTGTCTCATTCTATGTATAGTTTGAAAATTTGTATACGATTCCTAGGCATGCACCGAGTAATTGACTAGGGATTTTATATTTTTTGAAAAATCTGATGTTCCGTATATTGCTTGGTTAAAACGTTTTTGACTCGGCGAGAATTTAGAGCAAACATTTCTCTATAAATTGAGAGATCGAACAGCTCTACATGATTTGTTTTGAGATTTTGGCAGCGATACCTCAAGAAACACATAATCGAGTACTTAACAAATACTCGGTTAGTCCGTTTATAGGCCATCGCTGCCAAAATCTCGAAACAAATCATTTTTTTGACCTCTCATTTTATAGAGAAATGTTTGCTCAAAATTCTTGCCGAGTCAAAAATGTTTTAACGTAAGCAATATACGAAACACTAGATTTTCAAAAAATATAAAATCTCTAGTCAATTACTCGGTGTATGCCTAACTATCCCGTCCTATTTCATGGATACTTAATTTAGAAAAATATCATCTCGTCCCACGCCGACTCTTGATATAAATAATTGTTTGAGAAAAAAATATGATTCTTCCTTGTAATCGTTATTGCAAAATTAAATTTTATTGTTTAAACATGTAAAATAAATGTATATTTTATTTAGATATGTTCATTTATGTCAAGAGATTGTTGAACGTCGATGTGAAACACCACAACAATTTGCTTTGAGATTCTTTGATTCCTTGCTACGATTGAAACATGATCATGTTGTCAATGTTAGATTGACATTCGCACAATTTTTACAATCATATTTAACAAATAATTCAGGTGACTAAAAACGATTATACTCCAATACCTTGCTGTTATATTCTTAATAGTGTAATTTAGATTTTTCTTTGTAAATGTGAGCAATGTTATTAGTCAAATTTGATTTGTGAGTTGTAGAGATAAAATACAAAAAATCTACATAAATTTAGCTTCATACTGATTAATTTCTATAATTTTACAGTTTATTGTTCATTATATAGATTTTGTTTTTGTTTTTGTTTAGATTATTATTCTTATTTACCCGATCATTGGCGAAGTCAAGTTAGTGAAGCAATTCAATTATTACAGAATGATCGTGAAAGAGATGTAAGAATATGTGTTGGTGGTGTTTATGAACAATTACCACCACCTGATCTAATTCAACAAACAACATTATCAACGATAGTAACTTCTGTAGAAGATCAAGTTAAAGTTGAACAAGAAAATGATAAAACTGAATTAAAACTACCTACATCAAGAAATAATAATCCAAATCGTATTGAAATTTTGTGAGTAAGTAAAAGAAAGAAAAAAACAACTTTTATAAATTGTTAATGTATTTTTTATCTATATATTTTTATTTAGAATCTGATTTAATTTAATTGATCGATGATTAATCACTCGTTCCATATTTGTTTTCTTGCCATTCATTACTATTATTTTTGCCTCATATGTATTTTGCTCATTAATTATTATATTCCTCAAATCTATCTACTTTCTGAGGAACTTAATAGATTTGAATGAATTACATTTATTTTTTTTAATTTGTTATATTTGATTTATTAGTTTGTTTTTTTTTTTGTTTCATATTTTTTATCGCCGTATATATAAATATATTTAAGAGAAAATTTTTTATTTCCGGTTTTGTTGTTTATAAAAACAAATACAATAAATGCGAGAGAAAAAACAAGTTGGTTATGATCTTCTTTTGAGCATTGTAGAATATAACGATAAAAAGAAAAAAAATGCTGAATATTGTGAAATATTGATTAGAAAACACTGACTTTTGGGTGTCATACACGTAAATCATTAGGTTTTATATCTTTGAATTGTTCTAGAATACAGGATTCATATTGAAAATAAGAATGAGATACATTTACTTAACTTGTTTATTCCAATTAAAAAATTTTATTTATTTAAAAAAATTATTAAATGTTGACGGATATGATCTAAGATAGAACAAGTTCGTATTCATTTCGTCATTTTGATGCAGAAACCGTAGTCGACGGAGTCAAGAAGCTTGAGTAGTTTTAAACCTGATCCAGAGTTCTAGAATGAGCCCCAAACAGCATGTCAACAGACCAAAGAAATGATTTCTGTTGCAATCAGAGACTAAAAAACTTCGCCGCCTACCGTGGCAGTCAGGCACACGGCAATGGCATTATTCTTATGCATAAGACGCAGAAAACTAACTCGAAGTTTCTAGCGGTTTTGAGACTCGAAAAGTTCGTTTCACAATCCGCCATAATTTTTTACGGTAATTCATCAGCATATATGAAGCAAAAAAGTATAGTAAATATGAATAACGTCGACTGTAGTTGATCCATTTCAAAAACTTCGCCGCCTTCTGCAGTGCAGCTACCAGTTTTGGCACCCACTTTCGCTACTACGCAAGCAGACAAATATTTCAAACAACATTCCGTTGGTTTCTTCTTTTTTTATCTGGTTACAAATCATGTTTACATTGGTTTTGATTTCTATCAACGTTTTTTGTAAAAAAACGCTACATTATTCCTCCGTTCCCCTTTTTTCAACCTCCCGGAACCATTTGGAAAAATGTCTTGAGTCTACCCTAGACTGACTTCGTTCTGCCGCCTATGGCAGAAACGAGTGTGTTTCAGAAGAAGGATGCGTCCAACACAATTTACTTCGACATCTTTAAATGTTGCTTCCATTTTTCTTCAAGCAGCAGAACTATCATTGAATACATACGTGATCATCAGACTTTATAAAATATACCTACTAGATGCATTCTACTTAAAAGATTCTTATATCGTATGTAAAAATACAAACTATATTGATATTTAAAAACTTGAAATTATATTTGTAATCGATTTGTTATTCTTTGGAAATGTTCAGTTATTTACTACAATAGAGAATAGGCTTTTATTTACTATTCTATTTATTACACTATCATGTGCATAAGATCGTCGACAATAAACAAAAATATTTACAAAGTGTTGTATATCTTTCTTTAGTCAGTGTTCAATTATTCCATTGATATCTATGTACCTATGTTAATAAGAAAAATTTATTTTCAAAAACATTAAATTTTAAAGAATTACTATTAGAAATTCATCAATAGACAGTGACAAAGTCTTTTTCGAATATGTTAGTATCTTATGAAATTAAATTAAATTTGAAATTATGTGCTAATAATTTTAATCATTTTTTCATCATTAAAACAAGATAGTACATGCACAGGCAAATATTGTACAAATTCTATGACAATATTAAATATTAAATAGAATAAAGTTTCTTTCATTTATATTATCTCTCAATGGGTGTAAAGAAGATTGAATACCATTTCTAAACATAGACACATTCGTTGTTGTTTTATTTATAGACACGTGTGATAAAATTCAATAGGATTGTATCGTAAATTAATTTATTTTTTATCAAAATCAAAATTCTATTCTTTCATCAAAAATGTGAACATAGTAATTTGTTTTTGTCCTGAATTTTTGTTATTCAAATAAAGTCCAAAAACCAATAAAATATTCAGTAATGGAAAGTAATTATCAGATTGTAAAATTAGCTTATTCAGACATTAACTTTATAAAAGTATATGTGTATGAACAAAATAAAATAGCGGAAAGATTATGTTTAAAGATGCATTTATTCAATTTTCTGGTTAAATTCACGTACTCTTTATTGTATTCATCAAATAACTATATCATTTGTTTATTCGAATATGTACCAAAATATTTAAGAATATTTGAAATTGACAATTTTTCTCTTGTTATATCGATATTGGTATTATTTATTATATTTTGATTAGTATTGCTATTGTGATCATTTTCACTGCTATTCTCTATAGTCTCATAATTCGTTGACGGTGAAATGTAACTTCTATCGAGGATATTCTTGTTTCATCGACACTAATTTCTTATTCGATTCGTGGACACTTTTTTTCTCTTGATTCATCGACACTATGTTTAGAGTCAATTAAGCTTCTTGTTTCGTCGACAGCTTTTCTTATTCGTTGTAAAACATGGAATTATGATTGTAATTATAGAATTTTTATGATTTTTCTTGTAGTTGAATAAATAGCAATCAAAAATGATCATGCATATAATAGAGTACTATGGCGTAAAAAGAGTTAGTGCAAAAAATTTTCTTTGTAATTTCACTATTTTTCATCCATTTTTAACTGAACAAATTCGATATTAACCATGTTGGTAGAGACGATAATTATGCACGCACTAGTGCAAAAATTTTCTAAAAATTCATGTTGGTTTTCCAGATATATTCAAATAGGAGTCGAGTGGTTTTGATTGACTTCTTCGTCACGGGGTAAGCTCACTTATGTCGATGGGGTAAAAAGAGTCAGTCCATTGAAATCCATAGAGATTTCAAAGAAGCATTTGTACAGACTTCCCAAAATCGATTTTAATACTATTATGAGTGTAAAAGTTGTTAATAATACTTTCGTCTTTTTCATATGCGAAAACTGGAATTTAATTGTTAAAAAGAGAGAAATTTTATGATAAACTAAAATTCTAGGTAATTTTGACTATGTTTTAGTCGTAGGCTATCAAGGAGAGAAAAATTCTTTCAGTATTGGAAAGTTCAAATAGGAATATTAGAAAAAGTTGCTTAAAGATGAAATTTCCTAAATATTTCGGCTATTTTTCATGGTAGAAACTTCACTCTTTTTCCGTTTGATTCCCAGGAATATATTACATAATCAGGCGTGATCACATTATTTAATTTACCTGCTGTTAATTCAAAATATGGATTATATTACGACTAGAACATGGTCAAAATTACCTAGAATTTTAGTTTATCATAAAATTTCTCTCTTTTTAACAATTAAATTCCAGTTTTCGCATATGATAAAGACGACAGTATTATTAACAACTTTTACACTCATAATAGTATTAAAATCGATTTTGGGAAGTCTGTACAAATGCTTCTTTGAAATCTCTATGGATTTCAATAGATTGACTCTTTTTACCCCATGGACATAAATGAGCTTACCCCGTGTGGGGTAAGAAGAATCAATCAAAACCGCTCAAATATTTGCACTAGTGCGTACATAAACAAGAATGGATCCTTCTACAGATGAATATGATCGAGTATCAACTTCTTTTACGTAAGAATTTTTCTGTCAAAAGCGTCAATGCTAAGCTTCATTTAATAATCCGTGTTGACATTTTTATCCTTGGTTACCAAGGACAGAAAAATTCTTCCAGTATTGAAAGTTCAAATAGAAATACATTAGAAACAATTGCTTAAATGACTCGTCGGTCGATGCACATCATAAAGAAAAAAACCCTCAACACCGTCCTACTGTCAATTATTCCGGTTCCCGAGGTTCGAGCTAAACCTGTTTCACAAACAAGACAAACACCGAATATCCTCTCATTTGTCTCACTATCAGAATCTCAGAAGTGCAGATAAACCAAAACATTCTCAATTCTAACTTTAGTAAGAACATCGATCAAAAAACGTTTTAACGTCCCATTTCCTTCCCAAGGAACGCTGAGTTTTAGCTCGTGAATTCATCTTGACGGAACGTTTAGGAAACTTAAGAAAAACGTATATAAACAAAATTTGAGTTCAAAATATTCAACCGTTTAGAAGTTATATGTGTCGCAAGGATCAAAACGGGGTGTCAAACTTGTAGAAATTTTGTTACTCGTAAACATAGGATCTGCTTTAACTTAAGCTAGACACGTCGAACTGAAAATGACTCGAACAGTTTTTTCAATTTCGCTCTCTTTTCTGTTTATCAAACATTGAAAACTGACGTTTCAAAATATTCGCTTTTTTTTCCTTTAGCAATCTACAATTTCATTCATCATGGATTGTCATTGAAACATTAGAAACTTCTATAGCCTTACAATGAGTTAGAACATGCGTAACACGTTGCAACACGTTACAGGCTAGTGTATTATACCACTATAACATCTAACACATTATAACGTTATACATTTATGGCATTAAAATACATTAACTATTTAGGCGTTGTAACGCTATATGTGATATTTGTAGTAAGGTATTCTGCGGGACTTGATGTCCTAAGTCTCAAGTCACTAACGTATCTGTCTGATATAGTTGAAGTAATCTTTCCCAGGCCAACTTTTCGAAAGGAATCAATTGGCAGTCTCAGAATTTTATGGAAATCTGTCCTTTACGAGAAAACCATGTGTTTTCGTTTTGCATATTATTTAACTCGTTAAAATACATTAATACTTAATGTGTTACATCGCGTTCCATTTTCTTATCTCATTGCATTTAGATAGAAAAGAACGATGCGTTATAATCTATTAGATATTCACTCGTTA